ATTTAAATGGGGAGTCATCTCAATTATCACCAGTAAAATATGGAGTGCCACAAGGATCTGTCCTAGGTCATCTGCTATTTTCAATATACATGTTGCCCCGTGGTAATATTATTAGAAAATATGGGATTAGTTTCCAACGTTATGCTGATGATACTCAACTATATATCTCAACAAGACCAGGTGAAACTTCTAAATTATCTAAGCTAACAGAAAGTTCCGTATCAGTTACAAAATATTATTACTTATTATTATTACTATAATAATATTATTATAAAGACCTATAAGGCCCTTAATGGTTTAGCTCCTGCGTACCTAACTAACCTTCTACCATGCTACAATCCATCACGCTCCCTAAGGTCACAAAACTCTGGACTTTTGGTAGTACCTAGGATAGCAAAGTCCACTAAAGGAGATAGAGCTTTTTCGCATTTGGCTCCCAAACTCTGGAATAGCCTTCCTGATAACGTTCGGGGTTCAGACACACTCTCTCCGTTTAAATCTAGATTAAAGACACATCTCTTTGGCCAAGCATTCAAATAATGCATCTCATAATCTTGTACTGCAGTTATATCTGATCAAATGCACATTATTATTCTTTAGCTTGGGTTAAACAAATCAATTTTGCTTGGTTGGAACAGCAGCTATGCTAATTATGTCTCTATTTGTTTCTCTGTTTTTGCCACGGGATTGACATCCCATGGTAACTAGGATTTACACAAGCTTCAGTCTGGATCCAGAACACCTGAGAAGAGATGATGCCAACCCCTCAGAGGACCTCAGATGATGCCAACCCTGAAACAACATACAGAACTACCAAATTTTGCTATAAGTTTGATTGCAACATATAATAATTGCTGTTAATTATGTTCATAGTCTGTTTGATTACGTCTTTAATTGATTTTACCGTACGTTTCTGCCATATGTACATTTACTGACATCGTCACCACTAAGCTACTACTAAATATACTGTAGAAGCATATATTGTACAGCTGCTTTGCAACGATTTGTATCGTAAAAGGCGCTATACAAATAAACATACCCTAAATAAACATGAATTGATTTTGAAGTGAGGTTCAGAAAGAAATTAAACACAACCTCCAATACAAGCACTTCTCTGGTTTCACATCACATGATCAATACTGAAATGTCCAATTAAAACCAGAACTGATGCTACAGTATTAGCTTAAAAATTGACAAATAGCCAAATATATCAGGGATATGAATTTTATGAAAATTAAACAGATGAGCGCAAATGGATTTAGAAAGAAATCAGAATGTAATCCTAAAATTCAGAACAAATCACTTTAGTTCATAGTCTATACTTTCACCTAGTTAATTGTTAACATAGTTTCATGTCAGCTTTAAACTGCCTGAAATAAGTTGACTTTACTAACATATTGAGTAAACTGGCTTTCTTACAGAACTTATTTTTTTTCCATCGATTTTTGACTATGAAAAGTGGCCATTGCGTAAGAGAACTGGCTCAACTGTGGCGCAGCATCACAAACTTCAAAAAAGTTTTGGTCAAATTTACAGTTGCTTTGTGAATTTACATGAATGGAATCCAGTCTTTTGAATAGGATATATATCATATATTTCATGTGAGGGTAAAATATTTACCCACTCAGATTTTGCAAACCAGTTCGAGTTCATTATTGAAAACAGACAAGGGATCAACAACAATGGACCATTTTGCCAAAATTTTGCTAATGTGAGCAATGTCACATGAATCATATCACAGGGAGACCAAATTAAGCTATTCTGATTAACGATTACTAATGCACCAGTGAATCGCTCACAATAAAACCAATAACAATCCAGAAAATAAATAGTGTCACTTTTGATTGCATCATGCCGACTTTAACCTTTTTTCAAATCTCCCTGTAGATAATAAACTTGCATACTTAATGGTTTCATAATGTTACTGAGTGTCAGAGGCATTTTGGCATTGTGTGTTTATGAGAGCAAATGTATGTTTGCTGTGCTGTTGACCTAGGCTACTGTAATGCTGCAATGCTTCAGTTAGTGTTTAAAGCGTGACAGATGTGGGCCGCCGTCCTGCGTTTGCAGTCTCTCTCTGTAATGAATGGGCACCCATTACGACTCTCAACAGACGACCTGTTTTTAACACTCATTCATTTGAAGAAGCGGCTCGGGTGTCATTAAGTACTTTACAATCATGAATTAAAGTTAATGGAAATTGAGCTAAGAAACATAACACTATGTAATCAAGAACTGATCTTTCAGGCAAACCTGGTAACATAACAATTTTTCTCAGTCACTTTGGTACATTTCTCAGATGACAACTGAAATTCTCAAAACTACTTCAACTTCCACATAATCTAGTTGCTTGTGCACATCATAAAAGCAATTTCTTGTTATTTTGAACAAATTGCCAGTGCTTTAGTACATTCATGCAACTGATTATGTACAATTGTCTGCTGTTTCCACCATTATCAACTGCTTATGTCATGTTGAACAAAACTGGTTCTCTGTTAAAAAGTCTTACCCCCAAAACATCTAGGCATTAATTCACTGCTTAAACCATTAAATACAAAATGGTCAACTAGTCACAATTTGTCAAGCATGTACTCTATTAATTTCTACTAGGCTTTTTTTTTTGTAA